AATTATTTGAATTTCTCAAAATAATTACTTCAAACTTTTTGTTCCTGCTTTTTTTTCTGATGCCTTTACAGAATCAATGCAGGTAGTGCGTATTTAGTGAATCCTTTTCTTTGTTTATATCAAAAGCGTTTTAAGTTTAGATTTCTGGGCATATTTGCTTCTTTGATTCAGTGACAGGAAAACTAAAGTTTTAATGGATATAGATAGAGGGAATCCAGAGATTTTTATTGCACAAATGACTAAACAAGTTGAATCTTTTTGTTTTTTCAGGTCCTATGTCTCTAAAACATCACCTCTGTTTAAGTTTGAGCTTTCATATCCAAACTTTAAAATAAGCTACAAATTAACTTTTTTTAGAAGGCAGTCTGGAAAAGTCTGACATAGTCCAAATGAAAGCTTGTAAGAGAATTAAAACTTTTTTTTAGGACTTGGGTTTTGACATTGGCAGGATGGGTCAGCCATGTTGTGCGTGGAGAAATTCAGAAATGAAAAATAAATTGATACCACATCTTTATATGTTGCCATCCTTTTTAACTAAATGCTGCATTCAGTGATTTGGCATCAGATCATTTTAAAAAAGGGCCACTTTTTATAACTAATGTATTTCAAATGTTCATTAAATAACTTTACATTCAGTTTCCTAAATAAAAATAACGGAAATGTCTCAATAAAGCAATAAGTTAGTTCCTGTTTTGTTTATCTTTCCCGTATAATAACAACAAGGTCTGCGGTTATTCAGCTGGTTCGTCAGTGCAGTCACTTACTGGAATTAATCAGTAGCAGCAGCAATATATTCAGCTCAGCTACGCTTGATTGACAAACTCTCCAGCAAAGTCAAGTTTACAAAGACAACATGGCTGCAGCCCAAAGGCTTCAGATTGTGTTGTGGATATGCGTTGTGGAACAGCCCCCTCTTTTGGTGTCAAAGCGTAACTGCTACTGCCTTCCTGGACTGAAGAGACTATCTTGATACCGGTTTTCATTGGCTGGTTTGATTTTCTTTCCTGTCTTTAGGTCTTAATCAATGAGGTGGACAAACAGCTATTTAGAGAGAACAATAGTCAATTGATTTTTAGCCACTCATCAGTAACCCTGTCTATCTTACTAACTTCAGTAATGAGATGTTTTGTTTTTTCTGCTCTTTTTTTTATATCACAGAGCAAACAGACGTGCTAATGTTTTTGATAACCCAATCTGACAATTTTGACACACCGTTTGGCCCGCAGCCTCATAGGTAACGAGGACGTACCCTTATTCCCACCTTCAGCATAAATAAAGCAGCCGGTACTTTGCATTTAACTGCATCTCTTTCCTTTTCCCCGCTCTCAGCTTTCACTCTACCCTCCTGTCATCGCTGACGGAGAAGCGTTCCTAATGCGGTGACAATTGAGCCGACCTGTTAAATTAATTTTCCAGATAATGTGTCAATATTAAATATCAACTTTGACCTCCTCAAGCTTTAGAGTTCGCTCGCCCAGCTGGAGTATTGATTTTTTTTTCTTTGCCCGCCTCTGAGCTTGCTTGGCCCACACTCAAAGTCCATTATTTTTGATTTTCTCGTGAAATACATATCTTTACCCACTGACATCTGACAAACAGCATATGGAAGTCATTTTATCTACCAATAATGTGTTTGTCAAAAAGTCTGAGGTCTTAATGGATTCCTGCAGCCGCCAAGGAGATGCCGGCAGAAGTCTGTTTGTGTGCACAGATGCATGAGCGTAGGTGTTGTTTATGCAAGGCATTTCTCCTCAAAGCACAGCAAGTTGGGAGGGGTTTAATTGAAAAAATTAAGTAACTACGCTGTATTAATTGCGGGTTGGTCACAGGCGTGACTTTCCTATCAAACACACACACACAAACACGTGTGCACAGTGTTGACTGTGATGTGAAGGACAGGCCACGGTCTCCAGGAGGATATTGGTCCCGTGTTCAGGCTCCCATCTAGCAGGCCAGTCAAGGTAATGACTATTTTTGGAGCCACATCTCCCAGTGCCAGATGACAAGCCGATAATCTGTCATTTAGGACGGCTTAATTCCACTCGTCAGTCAGTTGTCCAATTCTGCGGCGCATTAAAATCAGACCAGAGTTGTTGAAGTGCTATTATGAAGCTTAATAAAGTGTGTGCATGATAGAGGGTGACATTTCACCATGAAGGCTGGACCAAATATTCATTTATTCATTAAACGTCGGAGTCGTGAAGATGTGTTGTGACACCCTTTCTGTAGCTGCTAATGGATTGAATTAAATCCTTTTATCAGCTCCAAATGAATACTGTATTTGAGTATACATGCAGAGTTTTAAAAATATTCACAACCCTTAAAGTTTTTTACATTTGTTCAGGTGAGGGGTACAACCTTACATGCATAATGCTGGGGTTTCATGTGGTCGACTTAGTGATGAAGTGGGGGGATTGGTCTTCCAGTTGTTTTGCAAGTAGAAATGTGAAAAGGAGGCATATAATGGCATTCAGGTGCCTAAATGAAATCATGTCCAACTACCAAAAGTAACTTGCATGATAAATACCCTCTCCTTGGTTTAATCTTAGCATAAAGACAGCTGTTCTCTGCAGAGCACAGAGGTTTGAGAGAGAATTCAAGCTTATAGATCAAGAAGCACAGCAGACAGGTCAAGGATAAAGTTGTGGTGGAGTTTTAATAAGGGATATTTTGCAAAAACAATGTGTCAAATGTTAAAACTTCAATGAGGTAGGTTGGAACCTTTTGAGAAATTGGCCATGAACTTAAACTAACAGCTCAGCCATGACGGGTACAATCAAAGGAAAGCTCTCCATGCCAGCTAGAATTATGGGTTACTTCCATTTAAAAAAAAAAATAAAAAATGGGCAATAAGTCAGATCTCTGCTAAAAAAAAAAAAAAACTTTAAAACACATTTTCCTGGCATACTTGTGTGTATTTTACAACATTTATTAAAGCAAACATTGGCAAAACAAATGAAGAACAGTTAACCTTACCTACTACACTTTAATGTAAAAGTCAGTCCACCTGTATATAAGCCATCCTGACTGTACATATGTCACCTCAAATCTCTGTGTTACTCCCTTGTATTTTTTTTTTTGTTTCTAATGCACCTTTCCCTCCTTGTTTGCACCTTCTTTAAGTACTATGCCAATATGTGACCAGTGAATTTCTCTGCTGTGAGATCAACAAAGCTCATCTAATCTAATCTAATCTAATTTAGAGAGTGTCTTTACAAACAGTGGCCAGAGGTCATTTATATCAAATCAAAAAGTTGAAATTGAGGTACAAATTAGAAGTTTCTTTAACCGCTGGTTAAGACCTCTAACGCCGACCCGAAAAATGGCAGCACCCTTTGACTGCAGGATGGTACTTTTATTGTAGTTTGCCACAAACCACGCAGGAGGCAACATTTGGAAGAAGGTCCTCTAGACAAATGAGCTTCAAAAAGATTTAAATGGCCTACATGTAAAATGGTGGTGGCAGCATCATTCTGTTGGGTTCTTTCTCTTCAACAGGAGCAGGGAAGCCAGCCAGTTGATGTGAAAATAGATGGTCCAAACCGAAGACAATAATGGAAAATAAGATGTAAACTGAAAGGAACTGAGACTTTTGAAGACTTTTACCTTCCAGCAGGACAAAAATCCCAAACAGACACCCAGAATTACAACAAAATGTTTAAGACTGAAGCTTATTAATGAGTTGTATAGATCTACATCTAATCATTTTTTTTCTTGCATTACTTGGAAATTATTCATTCAGACTAAGCTCGAATCATTTATGTGCAAGACATACTTTTGACTGATTGCAGCAAGTTAACTACTTTTAAAGGATATAAATCCACACTGACTTTCGTTTTTTTAACAGTAAATAATTATGGATCCTATGCATACAGTACTTCCCAGAAATTTTCCACTTGTGTTGACCTGTCACATGAAATACCTATAGAATACAGTGAAGCTTGCAGTTGAGTTGTAGAATTGGTCAAAAGAGTATAAGTGCTATTGGAAGGCACCTGTGTTCTAATATTGTAGCACAGCATGCAATTAAAGCTGGAAAAAGAGATTTAATTCAGCCCACTTTCAGTCTCCGAGCACATCATCATGTCCCCATGTTTCATGAGTAAATTAATATATGGTTCTATCTTTAGAGCAAAATGCAACTTTTACGATTCCTTCCACCCCGATCTCTTAACGGGGTTCCCATTTGTGAAAACTGCCACAGCCTGCATCTACGCAGCGGAGAAATACGGACGCCTGCCGGATTGACAGACAGAGAGACGAAAGAGAGAGAGTGCAGGAGAGGATGGATGGATGGGAAAGAGAGGGGTGAATATTGACTGATCGGGAGAATGATTGACAGCTGGAAAATAATGAGAACATTCAGACTTTTTTTCCCGCTGTCGCTAACTTTCCCCGGCACACCTATATTTGCCCTCCCACTCTCAAAAAAAAAAAAAAAAGACTGCTTTTAGATTCCTGAAGTGATTTGATATGCAGAAATCCTGGTGTGTTTATATCCAGGAGTAATTGATCTGAAACCCTTTGTGTCTGTTTTTTGTGAGATTGGACAAGGCGGAGAAGTATACTCTCTGATACATGAGGTCTGAACTGTATGAAACTTAATCACATTTATTCCCCGTAATGAAATTCCACTGCAATGAGTTTGTGTTCATATTTTGATTATTTTAGAATCCTATTATCCAAGTGTAATTCACTCTCTAGCTATTACCTTGTTAGTATTTCTCCCCCTCTTTACCTTTTGGAGACGTCCCTGTCCTTGGCCAAGCATAAATACTTTTCCTCTTGGGGGCACAAGATTAAAATAGTGGGATTATCAGATTTTTCTTACTGTATGTGTCAAATGACATTATACAGGAGAAAGGGGCCAATCTAGAGGAAATCCAGGTATTTCAGATCATGACAGAGGATGGCCTACTCTGTGTAGGTTGAGAACATGTGTGTCTTTCTCTGTATGAGTTTCTGTTCATGGCGTCCTCTCTTTTTAACGTTTGTTTCAGAGGGAACCTCTCTGGAGGAGCAGGTGCGAAGGATAAAGGACATTGAGGCCATCGAGAGCGATTCCTTTGTTCCTCAGGCTTTCAAATCATCCCGGGATGACACAAAGGTGCGTTCTGTCTCTCTTTCTCTCCCAGCCCCTCACTCTCTACTAGGCTCCTTTTGCTCCGGTTCTTATTGAATTTCGCCGTCTGTCCAGAGACGGCCCTGGACCAAATCAAACATTCCCATTCAATGCCGTTTGTTCATGACCAGAGAAGGTTTCATCAGAGGTTTTCCACAGCAGCAGCACCCTACACAAAAGGTTCAGCAGGCGGCAGCCGTCCTGACGCTCCGACTCTCTGTTCACCTCCCTCCCGTTTGCCTTTCTGGTTGTGCAGTCGCAGACCAAAACACAGAGGTCATTATTGAAATGTTTCCGTCGTCTGAAGGAGCCGGAATTTGATTTGTCTGGGCTTCATGGCTGCGTTTAAAATACAGGTGATAACATGTGACAGCAAACCTACAAAACTCATGTTCCATGTGGCTAGAGGGACCCAAAGGATTACACAGCTTCATAAATGACACAGTATACACTATTTTCTTTCTTTCTTTCTTTCTATCTATCTATCTATCTATCTATCTATCTATCTATCTATCTATCTATCTATCTATCTATCTTGATTGATTGAGAAGGTGCATGGGGAGATATATACAGTATATACATTTTGTCTCATCATATATATATATATATATATATATATATATATATATGTGGACCAACTGTATTTTTTATATTAAATAACAGGGTATTTATATAGATGGGTATTTATCTATATAACTATTATATTCGGTATCAAACATAAAGAAACAGGTTATTGCACAAGGTATTAAATATAGATATGTCTATCTATATCTCTATCCGTCTATCGTAATATTGATGACTAAAATTTCTTATTTTGGACAGAATTGTGAATAATCAATGATTTAAGATTATTTAAGATGGTTAAATACAGAACAATTGGCTTTCAATAATGTAGGTTGATGTACTGTAATAGTAGATGTTTTATATATTTAATCATGGAGTTCTTCCATTGATGGTTTGCTGTGTTGATAGGAACCATGATGTTGCCTTTCTAACAGCCTAAATGCACTAATCTTAACAATCTTCTACAAGCTACTGTTGATTCACTTGTTTTGTTTTTTTCCTAGAAAAAAGGTTTTCCTTCCTCTCAACTCTCCGTAAAAAAAACTGCATGCCATAATCCGCAGAAATAAACACTTGAAATGTTTCACATTGTGTTCAATGAATCTGTCTAATAGACTTTTAAAGATGGCTTTTAGAGCAGAATGACTAAAATAAATACCATTTTGATACAATTCTAATTTATTGAGTCACAGCATAATAAGTTATTGTTTCGTCAACTATAAGATACAGATCTGGATTTCTGATTGAGTGGCTGTTTGCATTCATTTATGTCTAATTGATGTGTTTATCGCTGTTTTGCCTTGATGCACCGTGGGTTTTTGTACAACTCATTGATCATTTGGAGCTACTGACTGATAGACCAGAGATAAGCACACATGCTTTCAAAGAGAATAAAAGTGCAACTAGTCGGTTTTTTGGCATACACTATTCAGCTCTTACGCAACTCAACATGCTTGGCAGAGACTTGTGACCCCAAACTATCTATATATCCTTTTAACATTAAATTTATGTTACTTATTTTTATTTATTGACCTTCCCAGACTGCGTCTTTTGCTCATGGGGTCACAGACCACCAAGTTTGGGAAGCCTTGCTTCAGACCCCAATAGATTAGGGTTTTGGGTTTTTTTAGGTTTTTTTTTTTTGTTTTGTTTCTGTTGTTGTGGCAAAGGACCACAGGTCAGAATTTAACGCGGGTCGCCGGCGTCGAGGACTAAGGCCTCCCTACATGGGTCATGCGCACTAACCACTGCGCTTTGTTTTTTTATTTTTTATTAATCTAACACATGTTTTTCTGATTCGTTAGTTTACTCAAATATTGTCCTCCATGTTTTATTTCTAAAACAATAAACCTTTTTATTAGGATATCATTTTTGAATTTGATTTTTTACGTTTGTTTATTACTGTATCTTTTAACGTAGTTTTTAGTGAAGTTTGAACCTTTATGTTTCAGTTTGCCTTTTTGCTTTGCTGCTGACCCACCTGAATGTCCCTTATGTGGGAAAACAAACTATTCTAGTCTATAGTACATAGTAAACAGGTGTGTTTGTAAATATAAAATACAAGAATAAAATTCCACACCCAAGATTCACAGAGGTCAATAAAAGGAGGCCATTAATAATTATGAATTACCAAAATAAAAAGTCTGCAGGATTTAGAAAATCTGTTTTAATTTTAGTAAAAAAGTTTAGAAAATCAAAACAAATATTCAATTGAGTTACATCTATCAAAAATGCAAATTCAGTGGAGGTTTTTGAT